CGAACGGCTGCTAATTGGTTCTCTAAAATTCCCAACGTGTGGCGCCATCTTGTAACAGAGAACGTAACTAGCGCTTTCCTTTCCGCGTGTGGGTGTCTTTCGCTTTATCAGGAACCATTTCTGCATGTACGTTCGATTTCACTGAACCAGGTGTACAGGGCGCTTCACGACGCGCGTCGAGTCCCGACATAACCTCACAAACATCGAAAATGAGCCTCTCTTGTCGTCAAATATGGACATTAACTTTCATAAACCCTTACAAAACTCATTAAGAAAACCGTCACACTAAGTCGTTTCATTATTCAGACAAAAAATTCTCGATGAACCCCATTAACACGTTTCCTGCTGCACAGAATTTCATTAACATTCTATGGCTCGCGTGCGCTTCACGTGTAAATTTCATTCTACACGATATATATTATTTGGCATCGGCATGAAATATTTTAAAATATTTTATGATAACTCTACACGAAGATGAAGTGAAATCCGCCTACAAATTTAATTGTTGCAGATAAAACCACATTCTTCTAATCTGACATACCATCCAAAACAGGGCCCCACATTACCGACGTTGATATTTATATTTATATATCTCCGTCGCACTACATTGACTATCATATGAAATGGCATAATTCATGTGTTATTTCGGTAGAACGATTGAAAAGATATCGGAGCAAAACTAAAAAAAGTCCCTTAGATTCATGATTTTAGACACTTTATTCGACCGCAGGGCCATAGTTTGCATTCAGTACCAACTAAATCTTGTCTCCGAGAGCTTGTGCATTACACGCGTTATCTTCATCTCAATGCAAGAGTTTTCAAGACATTTTTTTCTTGCCTTTATCGCATTCAAATGCTCGTTCCACGATTACCAGAGTGTTTCGAATCGTTGTATGAAGATCCTGACACTTTCGTTCTCATTACAGCCTTCAAAAATGATATAATGATAGAAACGTGGAAACACGATACCCATTTTAGTTCCGATCTAGTTAGAATAACATCTTTTTGTTTAAATACAAATTTTGAAAGTGGCCGAATATTTCTTAAGTGATCACGATTCATGTACTAAAGTGTCAGACAATTCGATGGAATATCCGTAAAAAGTTATTCCATTCGAACCGACTAGCTTTAAGCGGATTTCACTTCACCTCAACAGCGACAATACACGAAATTACCCACACAGAAGGTTCGGTACATGAAGCATGTGCGCCACGTGGCAGGAAACGCGTTAATTACCAAAATCAACAGCCACGACACCCCCCCACCAAAGTAGGCGTGGCGTGTTCTCCTCCGGGGGAGTGGTCTCGCTCCCCTCCCCCCGGGCCAGCCACGCCTTCGATGCAGCGAAACCACGCCCCGACTCCCCGCTCGTCACGATGCAACCGGTACACCGACTCACCCGTACACAAACAAGAGTACACACAAACATGGGTGTACAGCCATCTACAATAAACGCGCCCATGTGACCGCGTCACAGGGCACGCACGCAAAGTCCAGCAATGACCCGTGAAAAAATACGAGTCTCGAGATACGAGGATAAACACATGTAAATATCCAGGAGAATGCATATATGTATATAAGTATATATAGACATATATATATACACAGAAATGAACCGGGCGAGGGTGTGTGAGTGTCGGAAGAGCAACGTACGGGCAGGGCCTGGCTGATCGGGCCTCGCTCCGGGCCGCGGCGGCAGAGTGAGGGCCGCGTCCGGCAGCCTCAGAAACGTGCGCGGGGGAGTGTGGGTCTCTGGCATTGGGCCCGAGTCCCGCCCACTCCCTCCCTCCCGCTTGCCGCAGGGCCGAGGATCGCCATAGGGCCAGGAAAGGCCGGGGCCGCCGGGGCCGCCGGGGCCAGGCGTCGCCCTCTCGCCCTCTCGCTCACGGTTTCCCCCACCCCCTCCCTAGCTCGGTCTCGCTCGCTCGCACTCGCCCTCCCCTCTCTCTCTCTCTCTCTCTCTGTTTCTAGACCGGGGCCGCAGCTCGGTGCCCGCGGCCGGCTGGGCGGTGCGCTCCGATTGGACGCGGACGGTCGAGCGTGTCCCTCCTCCCTCTCTTTCTCTCTCTGTCTCGCACTCCGTTAGGGGCCCCGAGGGAACGCGGGCCTGCCGTCCCGCGGAAGAGCGGGGACCGCGCGCGGGGTCCAAGAGAGGAGGGTAGAAGAGAGGCACGGCGCAGCAGCAGCCAGCGCAGACAATGCAAACCAGGGCGGCCCTCGCCAAAGGGGGTCCGTCTTAGCTTCTTTAGCCATTTTGCTTTGCATTACCCGGCCTGGGGCTGCGCGCGCAATGTGCCTCTGCAATGCAAAAACAAACATCCAACCGCGTTAGCCTTCGTTGACCCCAGGGAACAGCTCTTGAGGCGTCGGGTTATGGGGCGAATTCTTTTACCGCTCTCCTTCCTCTTTTTTCTCTCTCCTTTCTCCGCTTTTTACGTTACGTCCTTTTTAACCTCTTGTCAAATCGAGTCTTGGTTTATACAGGATGGCGACGCCACTGGACACGGTCGCTGCGTGGAGGGCCAAGCATTAGTGTAGGCTTTGCGAGATTACTCTTTGAATTCTCGACTCTTTATTTCTCTAGGACATCGTTGATAAGCAAAGAGGAACATTCGATGCCTTATCTAATTGACTATAAAGAAGAATACCACTTTGATAGATATATTTATACGCCGTGGTGACTTCAATTACAGGCGATTTTACGCATTGAATTCAATGGCTGTTAAATGAGCCTGAAGTTGGTACAGGATCACTCGATGATACAAGTTAATACGAAAAAATGTTAAGTTTTGTTATCCCATAAATTTCTTATTAAACGTCGTACGAAAACTATTATAGTAATTTTTCAGCTGTTTAATTTACAATAATATGGTATAATGAAAACCACTGTTTAAAGAGCCGCTGTAATAAAAAAAAAACCACGCAACGACCGTACTTCCAGGACACTTACAGGTATATCAGGCAAAGCAAGTAAAATGGTTCTCGTGGGTTAGGTTATCGAATCAATTTTGTTACAAGATTAAAAAATTTCCGATGAATATTTCTCAGAATATTTTGTAAATATCGAAATGGCTGATACATATAATTTGCAAGCAAACAGCCATTGAAATAGAAGCAAGAGAAAAACTGCAAGTAAAATATAAATATAGATACAAAATAATCTTTGATACATTCAAAGATAGGACCATTTACTTTCATTTTGCCCATTTGTATAACTCGATATAAAAAAATGTATACTTTTATTTAATCTCTACTTTTTGAAACCACCCTGTATAAACAAGACTTGTAATATTTTTGATGCTACAAAGCCCTCGGTTCTTAATTAATATTTAATCAGGTAGCTCGTTTCGATAATTAATTAGATTATCCTTTTTACTCTCCCTTTTTAGTAAAATACAATTAGTTTTGAAAGTTTCAATTGCTCGAGACTTTTGCATTTTGAATCTTCCGTTGTGCCTTTTGATCTTCAAAGGAGATGAAAGGTTCTTACTGAAAGTCCAAAGAATTTAAAAATTTAATTCCTTCGAGATTAGTTTAATTATTTTGAATACAATTTAAAAATGATAAAACCCTATGAAAGGTCAGACAAATATAATTTATTGGATTGATCAAAGGCATTGAAAAAGTGCAAACGGTCATTTAAAATTATGAATTGCAATGAACCGAAAAATAAATAACAGAAAAGTATACGAAAAATAAAACCACATCATAGTCTCAAACATTGATTTCTGGTCAGAAAATATTTTTTGATAGAAAAAAAAAAAATAGTATCAAGAGATTCCACATATTTACATATAATAGTCTAAAAACATTTAATGAAAGTATTTATGACTTAACTTATAAATTCCATTATTAAGTCAATGTTCAGACAGATTCGACAAGATCATAAAGACCTAAAGGCACCACGAATGTTCAAAATTTGCCACAACTCGTGCAAATCGACTTCTCTCATATGTATATATATAAAAAAAAAGAAAAGAAAAAAATAAGCTACAATAAAAGATACGTTTACCAAAAATTAAAAACAATTCTCTATTAAACGATTATTGTGCGTGTCTCTCCTCAATATTTACCTTTCTTTCTCAAAAATTGCCCGACTATTTCCTCGTAAAGCTACCATCGAACGCCAAAGTGGAAACAAGAACAATTCTCAAGTACGAGATAAAAAAAAAAAGAGAAAGAAAGTACATAAAAATGAAAATGAAAAAACAAATCGAATACATTGAAGCAGATCATTACACAATATACATTCAACCTCTTAGCTAGGGCAGGACTTTCCGCGGAACTGCATCTCTATACACACGGTTCGACGCGGATTGCGCATAAATAATGTACAGTGGCGGACATGAATGCCTCCCCTGCAGATACGGCATCGCCTGTGCAAGATGGGAGGGCATTGATGTCTCCCAGTATACACTGTGGACATGAATGCCTCCCCTGCAGATACGGCATCGCCTGTGCAAGATGGGAGGGCATTGATGTCTCTCAGTGTACTACTACTTGTGTCCGATGACATGAGTGAGCCACTTTAGTGGCGTAACGTTCAAAGACATGATATCCACTAATATCCATGAAAGCCACTATAGTGGCGTACCGTTCAAAAATGATAATATATGCGAAAGCTCTATAGTGGCGTACCGTTAAAAAAAGATACCCTACACGAAAGCCACTATAGCGGCGTTTAGTAGCTAAGAGGTTAAATACGTGTACTTCGATTTTACACCCGTTCAATGCGCACAACCAAATCTCTGATGGAGTTTTCAGAAAACAGCAAAGCAAAAAAAAAAACAAGCGACTGACAAAACGACGAAATCATTTTTGCTTCCAACATTAGCATTGATTCAATGTCCTCGGAGAGCGCCTGTTACGGATCATCACGCCTTCGCGATGTATTTACAACAACGAACAAACGAGCTACTTTTGCACGTATATCTAAATATATCTATGTATATAAACATACAGGGAAAAAAAAAACATTAAACAAAAGGTTGCTAACTCACCGAGGCCGCGCGCCGCTACATCCGTTGCTACAAGAATAGGCGCTTTACCAGACCGGAAGTCTGAAAGTAAACATTGATCGTTAAGTCACTTCCACACATCATTATACAATGCAACTTATTAACGCATTGTTTCGCTTGTCGCCGACAAAAATTGGAATGATTCATTCGGCAGTTCTCTAAGATACAGATATTTTCACGATTTTAACCTACGACCTATTTTAACTTAAGATAATCATCAACAATCTTATAAAATAAAGAAATTAACGAATATAGAAGTTCATGCACTTTATAATGTCTATTTGTTAGGATATAAGTACTTATACAGGATGACGGAAAAGTCACCATTATAAAAATTAAATAATTATTTATGATCTATTTTATTTCTTTCTGTCAAAGATATTCAATATATATTTGGAACATTTACCGTGAAAAAGTGGACGACTGAGTAAAGAGTTTAATTAAAGTAAAGCTTAATTTTATTTTAAAACAATCATTGTACTTTTCTTAGATAAAGAGTACATTGCCGTCATTTTAATGTCAGAAATATTCCTCGGGACCATCAAAAGTGTTATTTAACATTTTCTCTTTCTCATATAATTCCTGTCATTATTTGACATTCTGACATTATGAATTCTATTATTAAAATGTCTGCGACATAAATTCTGCCTACATAACATGAAATGTTTGTTTTCAAAACAAAATTGAACAATGTTTGCTCTTTGCTAAGAGGTGTACTTCTCCATGGTAAATCTCCTAAATATTTATTAAATATCCCTGACAGAAAGAAATAAAATAGAGTTTAAATAAAAGTTATTTAATTTTAAAAATGGTTAGTGACTCTCACACTATCTTGCACTTATAAGATCATGTTTCAAGGAGTTTCTTTACAATAAAACCACATTGCATTGTTTTGAAAGAGCTCCAATCTTACATAATCTTGTAGAAGATAGGAGAGCAAAAACGTTAATTAATTAATAGAGGAATTTATTTATAAATTGTCTACCTTGTAAGACCCAATCTCTTTCCTGTTGCGTCTTATCTCCGTGGATGCAAACAGCAGGCCAGCCATCCCTTTTCATCTTCCTTGTTATTTCGTCAACTCGTCGCTTCGTCTCGATGAACACTATAGTCTTATTCTCCTTTTCTGCCATGATTTCCTTTAGGAGAGTGCTTAATCTAAGAAGAAATTGCAAGAAGCATTAGTTTACAAATTAAAAAGTTAGACGTGACGATGATGCTATAAAAGATGAACAATAAATAATCAATAGTAAAAGACATTGAAGCTTAGAACTATACGCTTTACTTTCACTCAGAAAATAAAAATAGAACTTTACCAAACAAATGACTGGAAATACATAAAATATTTCAGCAATTGAGTCTCGCTTATCCAACACAATGATATGAAAAAAAAAAATACTTACAGAATATTAACTGAGATTAAACATAACATTAAATCTTTTACATATTTAACCAGAAAGCTTGTTATTTAGTGAGTTAATAATGCAGCATGTATACAAAACACTTTATCTTGGAAATATGAAGACATTTAAAAACCAAATGACAACATACTTAGACTCCTTTTCGTAATCTTGACAGACGTCAATGATCTGTAGAATATTGTGATTGGCTGCGAGCTGCAACGACCCAACGTTGATCTGAGCATAATCCTTAAGGAAGTCTTCGGCCAGATTCTTCACCTCCTTTGGCCAAGTGGCGGACCACATGAGGGTCTGTCGGTCAGGTCTGATTTGTTCGATAATCTTTCTTATTTGTGGTTCGAATCCCATGTCCAACATCCTGTCGGCCTCGTCCAGCACCAAGTAGGTACATCTCTTCAGGTTAGTTCGCCCAGATTCAAGAAAGTCTAGGAGCCTGCCAGGAGTAGCGATGACAATCTCCACTCCACCATCCAAGTCCCTCGCTTGTGAACCCTTAGGAGCCCCTCCGTAGAGACAAGTGTTCCTAATGCCTGAAGAGTGTCCAAAGTCATCGGCTACTTGTTGGATTTGCTGTGCAAGCTCCCTTGTCGGTGCCAAAACCAGAGCCACCGGTCCATCCTTTCGACCGAGCTTTGGTTGGCTGTTGATGTGAACAATGGCTGGCAGGATGTACGATAAGGTCTTGCCAGAACCTGTAGAAGCTATTCCCACCATGTCGCGTCCACTTAATGCTATGGGCCACCCTTGTGCTTGTATCGAAGTAGGTTCCTTGAAACCTAATCTCCTGTAATACAAGAAATTGTTTAGTTTTCCTCCAGTAGTGAGCTTCCTTGTTGTTAAAGTAATGCGAATGTAGTTTCAGAGACATTAAATTATTTCTAAAACTTTTTTTCAAAATCGGTGTACTGAATCGTTTGAAACTTCACCAGAGGAATGTGCGGACCCTAAGGAAGGTCTTATAACCGATGATTTGAATTTTTAAACAAAATTTTGTTATTTATTCCAGAGGAGAACTATGAAGAGATAGCGCTGTGAACAAACATTGTTGATGTTTGCACCTTTTAAAAGCTTAGAATCGAGAATGAAAACTTTCAGGATCTAGACATAATAATTTAGAATGCAATTGAACATTACTGATTCATGTGGGAAATATCAGGATTTTCTAAATGCGGGCAGTAAAATTCTCGGTTATTCTGTAAGCAAGACATGCTCCAAAAGTGCTCTTAGACCCATAATTTCCGAAATGGCATTATCACTGAAAAGGGTAAAGACCAGAAATAGTTTCCGATAATGCATCAATTAGATGAATTTTCTTTACTGACGTCGATTCAATTTCTCAATGCCGTTCATATTACCTTAATATCATGAAAAATGAGCACAGCATAACAATTATAACGCAGAAAGCATTTTAAAATACAAGTACTTCTTATGCTTGCATTATTTTTCAAATACTGATTTGCTCAGATTATCAGTTTACAGAGTAGAAAGACGTGAAGAAAATTTACTATTAATTTTGCCATGTAATTAACACCAAAGAAATCAACTGTATTATTAGAAATGTATCAATACTATATTTAAATTCAGGATGAATCCAGTAAAAGTCTAAAGGCTAATGTACGTACTTAATTTCCTTTAGTACATAATCTGGGAATCCTGCTTCTTCAAATGTGAAGACAGGATTAGGGATGCCTTTTCCCCTCAACGTGATCTCTTTATCGCATCGATACTGTTCGACGGCTCTTGGGTCTCGGTTCTGTACAGCTTCATGTGGCACATAGAAGTCCTTCTTAAAAGGCTCGAGTCTGCTGAGGTCCCAACGAGGTTTTCTCAGGTTTGCGCCTGGCTGTCCTCGGCCTCCACGGTTGTTTCCGCGGTCTCTTCCACCGCCACCACCCCATCCTCTTCTGTCACGTGGAGATCGACTACGGGAACGGCTCCGGGATCTCCTCCTCCTGTCCCTGTCCCTGCTGCGACTAGTATTATTTGTCTTCTGTTACTTAGCAAAGTTTGACAGAATACTATCGATAAAGCCAAGACAAAATATGATGCCCCAATGCATGAACAATAAATTAATAATAGCTCAAAGTAAAAGTTACAAAATGATAACCATCGTTTTAATACAAAATGTATTTATAGAGATTTAAATGACAGATATCTTCATCAATAAAACATACAGATTTGTTTTACAAATTGTTCTCAGCTAGGATACTTCTAAATGTAACGAAGAACAATTTATTTACTTAGAAGTTTGGTTAGGCCTAATATTTGTTTAAACCTATTAATCAGGCATGGCGTATTAACTTATTACAACAGTATGCGTTTGCAATCTAATACCCTAGTTAATAGGTAAATTTCTTAGCGCTAGAAATAAATCAATGATACTAGATTGAAAGTGTTATAAAGCAGTACTGATGTAACCGCAAAATTGTATCACTTAAATTTGTTCTCTTATAAAAGTGAAAATCAAGCATTTCGCAAAAAAGATATATAAGAGTGTATAATGCAATAAGTGCAAAATAATTATTTCGAATGAGTGTATGTACCCCTATCTAAAAACCAATATTAAATTTGAATCTGTTACATTATTCCTTGGGTAATTCTTTATAAAGAAAAATTTAACACAAGCACTAGTTTAAGCAAAAAAAATTAAGAATATGGAAGGATATAAAAAGTAAAAAAAAAATTGTAATGTAGCCAACTGCTTTATGTCACAAATATTAAATATGTTTAATGAAATTAGTATCATATAAAATATATTATCGTCGATATCATTACATTCAAGTAATACATTTTTTAAATGACATATCAAATACTAATATTTTCAAGAGATTGTTTATGGAGTGTCAAAGTATTCTTAAACTCACTCCTGAATAAATAGTTGATGCAGATGCTTTGCAAATGACATTTTATCTCTCCAAACCTCGCTTTCAAATCAATTACATTGTAAAATTCGAGCAACGTACTCTTTTCTAAGTCTCATAAAAAACGTTTAATATTGCCAAACGTATCATTTCGTACACGTACTATATAAATAAGTATATAACATGTATAATGAATTTTATCGTATCAACAAAGCATTACTCCTATCGCCATGATTTATACCATAGAATTGCAAGATTCCACTCTTTTACAAGACTCACAAATCACTGCAAGGTAAAAGTACTTTAAGAATACATTAAAAAAAATAAGTATGTAGAACCCCTTGAAAGGATTACTTCATCAGACACATGTTCATGATCCTGTGCTCAAAAGTTAACATTAAAAGTTTCTAGATATCCATCACCGCTGAGTACACTAATTAGTAGCTGTAACAAAGTATAATCCAGATAAACTCGCTCCGCGAAATACCGATTCGTTCCTCGGCGTGAGCTCTTCGCAAATGGCGTTGCGGTTCTCGGCGTTTCGCGCATCGGTCGCAAAAAGGAGAAGCGAGATATAGGTTATGAAACGGCCACGGCGCGTCCTATCGATCCTGCGCTCGACATGCTCGGAAAGAATTGCAAGGAATTCGTTGAGGAGAGCGATCGCAACGCGAAGCGGCGAGAGTGAAGCCTCCGATCCGGCGAGAAACGGGCGCTGGTCGTGAAGACGTCTTCGCGAGACATCGGGAACCACTGCAAGAATCGACGGTCACTCACCTCCTGTAACGGCCCATCTTTCGCGTTTCTGGTGGATCTCCTTTCTCTCGTGAACGTCCAACGGCTAAGAAGACTGGAATTCTTGACTGGCGGGAAACGACCTTTCACATGAGGAAACTCTGGGGCGAACTGCTCCGAGAGAGTGACGCAAATGGAAGCGGGATACGACGGGTCGCGACGGCCGCACCGAAGAGCGCCGCTAACATGGCGCTCGTAATGGTGGACGCCCACGCAAGATGGCGCGCACGACTTATTTCCGCCGTTTGAACGACTGGCGGGAAAAATGATTCGTTAACTCGTTAACTCCCTCATCAACCTTCTTAAACGGAGTGCATTTCTGTGTATACAGAAAAAATCAGTGCGTAGCCGCCATGCGTGTTGGAAATAAAATGTCTAAGTTAATTAATATTAATTATTCTTTCACGAAATGTCCTTGCGCCTTCGATGCCGATTGTTTCAGTCATAACAATATCAAGACACCAAAATTACAAGTAATAATTAACTGTGACAAAAATAATGAAAACTTTTATGCAGGTTTAGTCAACCTTAACATAGAAAAATAAATGTAAACAATAATTTACTATAAAAAAAAATTGGGACGAAATACTAATAACAATATGCGGTAAATTTAATGCCACTTTTGCCAAGCTTAAACGTACAGCCACTGATTGACTTCTTAGACGTTAAATTGAAATCAGATAATAATAACAAAAACGTTTGCTCAACTTGTACCAATACTAGCACCCAAAGATGAATGCAATTAGTAATTAATCGTAAAAAAGTATAATATAAAAAGAAAATTTGTATTATATTACGCATGTAAAATGAAACGAATGATATGTACAGTAGATTTTAAGGATTTGAAAAATTTTAAAACACTGTAATGTAATTTAAATAAATCTTTGTAATGACTACAATCTTAATCCTCTATCCATTTAATTATAGTACTATTTTCTTTTCTACATATTCGCTGGAAAAAATTTCACTTTCAACGTGCGCAGCAGCTATGCACCATTTTTTATTTTAATTTTTCAAATCCATAAAATCTGTTATACGAAACCAATCATTCATCATCGTGAACTAAAATTATTTGTTTTATCCAGCGTTTGTTACAATGTATATACAAAATATATACATAAGATTGTAACGAAGAGAGAGAAATTATTATTAATTGTTGAAAATGAAATGTAAAATGTTACAAATGTATGTAGTATTACTCGTTGGTACCCATTGTCATAATTTAAAAGAGAAAGAACTAGTTTATAGTAATTAAAATACGATACATAAATTGTTTTTTTGAGTACGATTGTATAATAAATTCACTCGTCCAAAACATGTCAGCCTAATTTAACTGATAGTTTAAAAGAAGATAACGTCCGTCCCTCCCTAGTCGTCCTGACTCATTGCCAGTATCTAGCGTTTCACTTTTTCGTTTCATGTAAATAGCCCAAGCAACAAACTCTTACTACTGTGGCTGAAGGAGTTTCACTTCAAAAGAAAATAAATAATTCACTTTTCGACATGTTCCGCTTTTTTAACGTACAAACTTACACTACCGTGGTATAAGGTATTCCATTTCAATAATGAGTTCTGGATAAATAATTAGATAAATAGAGCGAATAAAAGAAAACAAATTAATGTTTTTCTTATATTTATAAGACAGTTGAGTTTAACATTAATTTCTCTGAAAAGACAATTCTTACAAATGGGTAACAAATGATTTTTAAGACTTTTCTATAAATTACAATCTTAAGTATTGTCTGAAACAATTATGCTTTGAAACGCGTCTGGGGTGAAAGGTCCGCTAGCAATGTGAAAGGGAGAATGTGAAAGGAAGTCAGAAAATTTGATTGTCCTTGAAAATATAACTTCTTGTGATAATGTTTCTAATAACATTTCCGTATAACTACGAATCTCGAATTTTAATTGACTTATATATAACAAACAAGACAAAGAAAGAAAACGCTCCAGCTAGAGAAATACCTGCCTCTTGCCTTCGGGAGCCAGTTGCATTGATTTCGCTTATAAACTAATAACTTATAATAATAAAGATATACTGGCAATTTCTAATCTTCGTCGAAAAGACAGCAGCTCTTCCGGTAGGTCATTAAATGTCAGGCTTTATTATCGCAACGCGAGAGGAGTATCTTATATATGTACAATACGTATACAAAGTAAGAAAAGGAGAGAAAGAAAATTGTGATTGCTGTTAACGACGAAACATATTGGCGACGAACGATTTGAGGATGTAATGTTCACACTTGACAGATCCACTGGCTTACGCAGGCATTCGATCGCAGAGAACAAATGCGATGAACGTTTCGATGAATATTTCAGTTTCTCGGTGCAAGGCTGCTGTTACCAGGTGCCACGGACATCTCCCCTCCTTGCGTATTGTCCCTCTGGAGACTCTGCTAAACAAAGAACAGTTAATATTTAATTTTATATTCTAACCTCTCAAGATTTACCCTGCTATGATCTCTCCTGTATTCCATATTGTTTTTTAAGCAAACTGTATTTCTATCACTAACAAAACCGTCCAGATAGTTAGCTATTTTTCCCGAAATTAATGAATTAATTCATGTATGTCTTAACCTTCAAACGTAAATTGAGTCATTATTACCCTACGTCATCACATGACAAATGTATAAAAAAAATTATAAATGGCTTTCTTTAAAAAACGGATTCACATATCTTTTTCCGACAATTAATAATCGCAACTATCAACGTGAGAATATGGTAAAGTGCCAGATTGCATGTACAAAGTACAGATGTATACGATGTAACGATGATAAGATATAACCGATTAAGGTGAAGTGAAACACGTCGAGGAACTTGATCGACGCCGATAAAGAAGATTTTTCTAAATGCCTACATTGCCGACGTTCGTTTTTATATCGACAGCTGTGTCGAATTATATTGGATATTGTACCAAATGACATACTCCACCTGTCGTTTTCGTACAATAATTATAAAGAAATTGAATATAACTCCAGAAATCCTCTGGATTCATGCTTTCTGGGGCCCAAATTGACTGCAAAGGGACACCCTGCGCCATCTGTGATTTCTATGTCAATTAAATTTTCACTCAGACCTCGTATTACCATCGTTTTGGCATAGAAGCGCATCCAACACTTTTTTTGCCTTCATCCCGTTCAAATGCGAGTTTATCAATTACCAGAGTGTTCTAAATTGTCGTAAAATTGTCCTGACCCTTTCGTTTCTCATATCAGAGCCTTCGATAATTGTATATTGATTGAAATGTGAGAGCTCGACGCCATTTTGGTTCTGGTCTGGGCTAAGTTAAAAAATTTTATGCAAAAATCTAAATTTTAAATGTGTCAGGACAATTTTTAGATGATCAGGAGTGATGTGTTAAAGTTTCGGACAGTTTGGTCTAATACCCTTAAAAAAAAGTGTTGTATTCGAATCGACTGATTTGAAAGGGGTTTCACTTCACCTTAACACGTTCCCTGCCGCGTGGGGCGTATACGCCTCACGGTCTATTTACGACAGTGTACTCGTCATTTGTTTCAGCACTGAACGTGTTAAATTAAAATAACCCAATTTCCATTTAAGGGAGAATGGTGCTCGGCAAACGTCAAGTTGACCGTGCTGGCACGTAACGGCAAACAGTGGAATAACTCGTGACGTTATAAGTGCCATTCCTATGCCGTGTTGTAGCAATCGCGGTCACAATTATGACGTCATGGGACTATGCTCCAATATTGCCGAGCGTTAGTCATCGAACGTCGGGACCCAATAAAAATCTCATAGTTCTCGTCAGGAAATAAAGATTTATTATGAAGAAAGTCAATATAAAAGGTATCTATTATACCACACACCGAAAGAACTCGACATTTACAAGATTCGGGGAGTTTATGCATTGCATCTAATGGGAAATTCTATAATGACTATAGCAAAGTCACGAAGTACACTAGAGTTCGTAGCGGAAGTTCGTCGAAGTTTTATGCAAGGGAAATTTCCTTATTCATAACTTTACATGTTCCCACAAACAATATCGAATTTAACTACTTAAGCTGAAGTGAAACCCCACTTAAGATGATATGAAAGACGCTGAGAAATTTAATCGACGTCGATAAATTAAAATTCATCTAGTCTCTTTTTGGTGGAAACGTCACTTTGAATACTCAAATGGTAACAAGCTGGCGCGCCACGTTACCGACATTTATATTTATGTTTAAATCTGGTACACTATACGTTGAGTATTATACGAGATGAAGCATTCCATATATTATTTCAGTAAAGTAATGATAAAGAGATCGATGTGAAACTAGAAATCCCGTGGATTCATGATTTTTGCTACTTTAATGAACCAATGATGCCATCTGTGATACTGGCTGCAATTAAATTGTTTATCTAAAAACACGTGTTGGCCACGGGACAAGCCAGCATTCTCTTGCAATCGTTGGTGAAAGTATTTTCCATATTTTTCCATCTGACTCTGTGATATTACATTTCTCCGGTATTCTAAATTGTTCGAGCTAGGTCCTGCAACTCTTCATTTTCGTTTCTAAACCTCCCAGAAGCGTAAAACATCGAAAATGTGCACAGACCACGCCTTGTTGGTTCTAGTCCATGATAAATAAATACATTTTTTATAAGAAATGAAATTTCATGAGTTTCAGGACTTACTTTGGGGCCTCCATATTCACGTGATAAAATATGAAACGAATCGGTACCCTCAATTCGAAGAATACTTTCACGAACGATTTGACCTTTTATATATATATAGGCTGACTCTTTCATATCACCTTAAATCCGTCGACTCGAATAAGACATTTTTTTAAAGGGTATTGGACAGAATTGTCTGAAACTTTGACACGTGATTTGCAAGCACCTAAGAATTATCTTTACATTTTCAAAGTTTAGATTTTCTAAACAAAATTTGTTTACTTGGCCTAAACCAGAACCAAAATGGCGTCGAGATCTCAAATTTCGATCAAAATACAATTATTAAGGGCTTCGACATGAGAAACGAAAGTGCCAGGACAATTGTACAACAATTTAAAACACTTTAGTAATTGTGAAACTCGCATTTGAACGAGATAAAGGCAAAAAAGCGTCTTATGCGCTTTTATGCTAAAGCGATGGTAACACGAGGTCTCGGAGAGAAAATTTAGTTGGCACTGAAATCACAAATGACGCAGGGAGGTACTCTCCTGTTAATTACGGCATCAAAAACCATGAATCCAGGAGATTTCTAGAGTATAACTTCGATTTCTTTATATTCATTGTGCAAAAATGACATATTGGGTATGTCATTTAGTACAATAACGAATATAATTCGACACAGCTGTCGATATAAAAAAGAACGTCGGTAACGTAGGTATTTAGAAAAATCTTTTTCATCGACGTTGATCAAATTTCTTGACGTATTTCACTTCACCTTAACAGCAATTCCCAGTGATACAGTATGAAATTAATAAGTGTACCATGTTCCCTGTATAGCCCTTTTGTGATTCTCGTTAGTGATTCTGTTTAATAGCAATTGCACAGTCCATGTTGGACCATCATGACAGATGCGTAGGTTGACAGTACAGATTTTTACTAATTTATATTTTTTTTGTGAGAAATAAATAAAAATGTGGGCTTTGCAGGGAAAATTATATTTTTGGAAAGATATGCTTTCATGCTTTCAAGTTATTCAAAGTACATTCTGTACAATTTTTTTTTTTTTTGGGTACGAAATTTTCCTCTTTCTAGCTCTCATAGGTGGTATATCAGAAAAACGATATACTATTCCCCCTTAGAGGTGAATATTTTTGCATTATGAAAATTATGCACCTCGATGAATCATTATATACACGCGGATCAGATTAGATCATCTTAATGTTTCTCTTATTCATTAGAAATATTATTGCAAAATTGTTTTTTTGTTACCTTTACGTAGATTTTATGCTTTAGCATTGCAGCTCTCAGAATCAACATGCAAGTTTGCCTCTGATATTCTTTGCCAAAACTTATAGACTTCTCAAAAGTCGTGCTGCGCTGATCAACATCTTTGGCGTAAAGAATCTGTCAAATTATATAATTCGATTAATATCTAAACTATAAAGAATTATATTTATACCATAATGTATACCTTAAGATACAAATCTTATAAAATCTATAAATAATGTGAAAGCTTTATAATATTGGAAATTACTGTCTTATAAAATTCTAAAAACTTTAAATATCCTAATGTATCAGATTCTTTATTATATAATGAACGAGACTGAAACAGTCGTACCTTGTTATGTGAATCAATTCGTGCTTGAATTTGCCCATCAAGAATTAACTGCATAAGTTCATCCTCTAATGCTGAGACCGTTCTATTAAAAGCTGTAGCCATTCTTCTCATGTCTGCACTCAAATATGGACTAAAGTATTGTATAAGAGCTCGGTTCCTAATTTCCGTGTAAAGTACATTAACATGTGGCGCTATATACATATCTAAAAGGATATTATCCTTGATTTCGTCGAGGAGTTTTAAACAAGCCGCATATTTAGACTCATAGAAGTTAAAGATAATGTCCCTGAGCTGAGGCTCCAATTCGAGGAACAATTTAAAGGAGCTGTTGAAGATAATATACTTCTGTAGTTCATTGCGATCAAACGTGGCTAAAGCACACAGTCCACCGTAAACAGCCACATTACCAGGGGAAAAGAGTTCTGGAAAATCGCAGTGATCGAGCGAGGCCTGCAGAAAAAGACGCGCGGCCATCTTATATTTCTTTATGGCAAGTTCGGCAAGGCCACCCGCAACCTTCAACTTAGTGATGATCGATTGATTATTCTCTTTCCCATGCATGCCTGCGAAATCAGGTGTGATCTCGGCTTTGTTCACATAGCAAAGAACATGTGACCAATTCTGGAGGTAGACGGAAACCTTGATAACATTAAGACACATATTGACCAGATGCTTTCCACTTGTGCAATAGTCACGAGCTCTCGAATAACACCTCAATGCATTGCCCAGATCGCCACAGTGTAAATAGTGATCCCCTAGATCGTCATTGCCACGCCTGATGCTCTCCTTGATCGAGTTACTCTTGTAATTCTTCAAGTCGGTATCGAACTTTTCGAGTTTGAGGGCTGCTTTCTTTGAACGTGATTCCACCCACATTTGATCAAGCACAGGGATATCTTGCGACTGTGCTATATCTGGTAGTCCAGATGTGCTGACAGCGTGCATCAACTTTTTATGCAGCTTCTGATAAAGTGAAACATTATACGTTGTCATCACATACGCAATAGCCATTTTGAGTGCCTCAATCCGTAGAGCTGGGCAATGGTCAGCAATATAGATCAGTCGGTAAAGTTTCGCCAGTCCAGTGTAACTATTAGCATAGACTTCCAAGTCCTAGAATACAGCAACATGTCATTGTATAACACTACATATAGATACACTTTCCTTTATATCCATACATATACATTTCTGAGCATGTATGTATAGACATATATATATGTAAAACGAGATATTTATGACACCAAATGTGCTCGAACAATGGAAATAATTCCGAGAACGGCGCTTCGGGCACTTTATTTAGGTTGTTAAGTATGAAATGTGACGTTAAATACAACGAAGTTGAAGGTTAGGTTAGGAAAATAATACATACAAAAGTCGGATTTTCCACTATGTAGGGCTCTTCCTCGGTATTGTCATTGTCCTCGGCGGGCGCGTCCACTTGCATTGGCTCGATCGCATTTTGGTTCGAAAGCGATAACATTATTTTAGAATGCCGAACCCGAACGGGACATAGGCACCGCGCATCTCCAATAGACGGCACACCTCTAGCGCTCCTCGCGGTATGTATCATCAACTGCGTGGACTCGAGATTTCTGATACTCGATAGTAATCGAGAAGTATCGAACTGTGATCGAACTCAGCCATCCAATCAATTGCGATCAATTGGGCTTTTCCTACTTATGCCGCGGAATCTCACTTTAATCAAAATCGTAAACTTACCGATCAACAAATATATAATTTTTCAAAATTAAAAAACATATGAAAGGATTAATAATAAATCGCTTAAATTATAAATATAAAGATAATTACACATGAATGTTTCTGTACGAACACGAGTTGTGGTTTGAACGTATTAGAAGGTGTGTAGAAATTTTAATCAAAGGATGTCTAAAGATTAAATATCTTTTTGGACATTCTTAACATTTACTGAAAGTTATTACATTAAGGGATTTTATTTGTGAACGTTTCTTGTACAAAATTGTTGGACGACCAATGAACGACATAACCTCAAATGCTATTATCTGCTATTATTTATCTTCTTCGGACGAACCGGAAAAGCAGACAAGATGCCGTGCAAAACCATCTGATCAGAGTAATGAACACAAATTTAAAGTCGTGATGGAATTGCATGGATTGTAACATTTCGTTATTTCTTCGCAAGAAAACGTAGCTTTCAAAAGAAAGTATAATTCTGTATAACATTACCTACTTATTGTGTGCTCAATTTGTTGGAAAATTCAGAGAGATGAACTTGAAGCACTTTTTGAGGTTATGTACAACCGGCAAACCTGTTATTCGTGCAGGATGCAGACTTTACTCAAACAGAAATATTTTAAAGCTCAGCGAAAGAGGCATGTTTGAGGATATATTTCCTGACACCAGTGCGTAAGTACTATAAAGCGTTGACATTTAGGGTGAAATACAATAGATATCCCAACCGATTTATACAAACCAGACACTATTATACACAGAATAGTAAGTCCTAACTTTCCTTTATAATCAATTGCATTATTATAAGAAATATCACCATTTGATTCAGCTTGTCACTGTGTATCATTTGAGCATATTATTAGTTTTCAATGAAATTAAATTTTCCACTAAAAGTGAATTGTAGTAAATGCAGCTCTGAAATTCAATTACATTAATACAATCAGTGCTAAAACACTGCTGATGCTGCTGTGCAGTGCTGTAGTAAACCAACCATGGCATAGAATGTGTTAACCCTTAGCGCTCCGCAAGTTTCGTAACGTTATGACGAATGTCTCCGCAGCAAAGCCAACGGAGCGCTAAGGGTTAAAAAACGAACACCCACTAGATTCAACTTGTCTTCCTGCATTAAATGAAACCCACATTGTTGAGTCTCATAGTGAACTTTTGACTGAACTTTCAATGAATTCAAGATTGAAAAGTCATTTGTGCCAGAAATAAATATCACCATTGAAATCAGTTTATTATTCTGCATCCAGTAGTATAGAGTTTATATAAACTGGTTGGAGGATCTGTTCTATGTTCTTATTGAAATTTATAATATTATAACAAATGTCCTTTAGTTGGCCTCCCTTTGCTAGAAGCGTTATGTCCTTTTAATTGATAAATAGAAGCCTTGCATCTGCAAAGATGTGATATATTTTAACTATTATATTGTTAGAATTAATTTGCTACAGTTATATAAGTAAAATTAATTAATAGTATTTTTCCAACCAATTGTTTCCATTAAGCATTTTGAGTTCCGTTTTTGTTATCAGAAATCAATTGTGACAGATTTAAATGTATGTTAGGTACATATTTTAAAGTCTATTAAATGAAACGGAATTAGTTTATAGAAGTTTAATTTTTTCTATGAATCTCAACAAAATATTGATATCTTAATCACAGGGTTTATGGTAATAAAAGCCAAACTTAATTTTTAATTGTTTTTCATTAATTTTCATACATAATTTATAAATAAATATTTATCATTCTGAACAATGAGAATATAATCAAATAATTTAAGAAAATAATTATTAAATCTTTAAAATATTTTAAGTCCTTTCCAACATGTTTATTGATTTGAATATATATTTCTACCAATTGAAGATAAAGAAACTATAATATGGGATGTTGATTGAATCTTTATCTAGACGTTCAACATAATATATAATTTATAGGCATAAGCATTATACTTGGCCACGTAATGTTAATCGTCACATAACTTGTTTCAGGGATGAGATAATAAATTTATTCAATAAATCACCACAACGTGTATATGCTGGGTTCGATCCAACTGCAGAGAGTCTGCATATTGGAAACCTATTAATTGTGATGAATCTTTTACATTGGCAAAGATCGGGTCATGATGTAATAGCCTTGATAGGTGGTGCAACAGGGCTGATAGGTGATCCCAGTCACAGAACAACGGAGCGCCCTGAACTAGCTGAGGCTTTGGTAAGGAGTAACGTAGAGAGTATCAAAGATAACCTGCAAACGATATTCAAAAATCATGAACAATTCTTCTGGAGAGAAGGCAGATTGAAACCAGTGAAGTTTGTAAATAATTTAGATTGGTATCGTAATATCAATGTTGTGGAGTTTATTAGGACCATTGGTAAACACCTTCGCCTTGGGACAATGCTGAGCAGAACGTCGGTTAAGACAAGATTGCAATCTGAGACTGGGATGAACTTTACCGAGTTCACATACCAAGTATTCCAAGCTTACGATTGGTTATATCTGTTAAATGAATATAATTGTCGATTCCAAATAGGTGGCAATGATCAAATGGGCAATATGAAATCTGGTCATGACCTGATTGGCAGGGTGAAAAACGCTAATGTCTATGCATTGACGTTGCCACTGATCACAACCGAAGGTGGTAAAAAGTATGGCAAGTCGGAAAGAAATGCTGTATGGTTATCTCCAAAAAAATCATCAAGCTTTCAATTCTATCAGTTCTTTGTTAGAACTCCGGACTCTGATGTGGAGAAATTGCTGAAGCTGTACACTTTTTTACCACTTCGCGAAATCGCTGAAATTGTCGCTGCGCACAAAACATCTCCAGAGAAGCGAGAAGCTCAAAAGGTACTTGCAGAGCAAGTTACTTTACTTGTCCATGGAGGTAAGAATAGTAGGTTTTATAAGCATTAAAAAAATATTCGTCTTCTTCTCTATTACTTTCTTTTTTTAATGAAAATCATACACAACACTCCAAATGATAAGGGTACACAAGCTATGATTATCAATTTATATATAATTAGAATATAGGGTATAGGGGTATTAGAACAAGGGAAATAAGCGCTATGCCTAAGGTCTTACAATTATACCTAAAGTTAACTGTTTATTGAGGGTAAACATATTTCTTTATAAAAGATCACTTTAGAGAACTCTATTATGTATATATTGAAGAGTATAGCAGCATCTTGGCCCAGTTGCTAAACTATTTTTTTACAAATGTAAAATTGTGTATATCATTTCACCATAATAGTTTACTTTAAAGTAAATAAAAAAATGTTCATTACTCACATGAGAAAGACTTTTGAACTATGTACAATTTTTTGGAAATATTGATATTGATGATAAAATTTTCGTGTAAACATGTTAATTACGGAAAGAATTTCCAATATTTTGCAAAAATCGTACATACTTTATAGCAGAATACATTATAGAATATTCTGTGATAATTTCAAGTGAATCGGTTAAAAACTAGTATTATACACCAATTTTTCAACAAATTTGATAGTGATTGTTTCTGTGTATAATTAAAAGTTTATTCTAAAACCATTTGTATCATATTTTTCATGACTAAAAACTAATGATTGAACAAAAAAAAATAAAATCGATTTTTTCAAACCTTAGGAGTGGCCTAACTCTTTACGTGATGTGAAAATGTCTCCTGAGTGATTTCGTTTATGAAACTTTTCTCAAAATTGAGTGTATTAAATAGTTTAAAACTTTACTACATAAATCCTTACGACATATTTACAAAAAAAAATTGAAAAGTGGTAAAATTTCAATAAAAATAATTCGATACACCTAGTTAGAAAAGCTTTATAAAGTTTCAAGAAAGTTTTATAAATGATTAGCCTCTGAGATGCCACTTTCGTATCACCTTGAATTTTATTGCAATTTAATTATTTTTACAGAGGAAGGATTACAAGCTGCATTGCAAGCATCAGCGGTATTATATGACAGATCAATCGAGTCACTTTGTAAACTTAATGCAGAAGAACTGGTCCAGGTGTTCGAAGGTGCAAGCATGGTGGACTTAATGCCCGAGCCTGGTCTAACAGCGTACGAGTTGGCAATGAAAGCAAACTGTTTTAAAACTGACCACGATGCAATGAGAATTATTAATGCTGGGGGATTTTACATTAATCACCAAAAGATTACTAATGTGAATGAAGCTATTACACCTGGAATACACGTATTGCCTAACAAAGTGACATTATTGCGAGTTGGGAAAAAAACTTATCACGTCGTCAGATGGTTTGCGTAGTACAGTGATGCGTACTACTTTGACTATGTACAGTGAATCTACAAAAAATAAGACTATGATAGATAAAAATAAATACTTCTAATATTTCAATTTAACTTTGATGTTTTATCACAGCTGAATTGATTTTGTTTAAATGAATTAAATGAATTTATACCCTTGTATGCGAAATTATACATATAGAATATTAACAATTCCATCAACTATAAATAGAGTTCCTTGTAGCGTATATGTTTGTAATTATATCTTAATATTTATTTGTTATTGACATAAACAAGTTGTGCCGTTCTCCCATCGTAATCTATAATTTCTACAATAATACAATTTACAAAAGCTTTTTAATCAGTGACTAGAAATGAATGGCCGTCTACTTTGAGAAGAGTCCTTCTAACAAGGCATACAAGTTAAATCATTTTTGTTTAACACTAAAACTACCAAACCCAGTTAAAATAACTAGTTTTAGATGGCCCACCACAGCCAAAAAAATCCGCTGGTAGTTCTAAAGTTAATTTTATATATTCTCCGATTCAAATTTTATTTCAAGATCAAATTTGTATGATTGAATTTCTATTTTTTTTTTACACATTTGACGTTTTTAATAAAATATAACATTCCAAATTAATTTAATTAAAACTGTATTTTTTAGGCATGCTGAACTATAATTAAAATCAATGCTACAGATCAATTGATTTAATATTTTGCAGTTCGTCGACGGCACAAAGCCGTCGCGCGAATTTTTATGTTTTACGTTACCAACGACACGAAGCCGTCACAGCCATAGAACCTTAATTTTATGATGGAAAATTAAAAACTAATAGGACATGTAGCTTTTATATTGACATTCATTTATAACTAAAGAATGTGAGGCCAACTATGCATCAAAGAATCGGTTTGCTTGAGCCAACGAGCGTTATAAAGTACTTCGTACTGCAAACCGCAAAGTGTTAACTTATATATATATATATATCCTGTCTGCAGTATTAAAAAAGTTTTACATAGCACAATAAAAACGCTGGCATAGGATAATTCGATTCTGATTTCACGTAACTTTCTTCAGGACAAAATCGCGCAAGGTGTTTGTAATGTTAAAAGGATTGGGCGAATACTGTTTTTTAGCAGTGGAAAGTCTTTTTGTGTTTGTTCCATAATCTCTGTCAAGTCTGCATTCATGATCCGTTGCTTTTCGAGTTCCTCATTTAAGGCTCCTTCGGATTTGAAGAGCATTCTATATCGGCCGTCTTTAACATCCTGAAGCATTTTAACCTTACGTTGCTTCCGCACCAACATCTGCAAGTTCTGAAAGCATCAAATAAAATGAAAGTGTAAATTAATCTAATGCTTAAAAAGAGGTTGCAAAGAAACGAGTTCCTTCTTCAAAGTATCTTACATGGTGTTTTGTAATCTCTGCTTCCTGAATTTGATTGTCAATGTCGGGAATTGTGTCTTCAACGGCTCTCAGTCCTGACTGGCCTTCGTCCAATTTCATAAGCAGCTCCTTTTGCTGTGTTTCCACTTCGGAAAGCTTTTCATTTGTCTGCTTCCCCTCCTTAAAGGGAATTTATCAACAGTTATTTAAATATTGAGTATTCAAATATATAAAAATGTATTTTAACTATTAATTGAAGTTTTAAATAACTCTACGAGATTATTTTAAGATATAATGTTGAGTTGTACTTTTAAGATCTGTTTCAGCCTCTTTTTTTGATCCTCCAGGCGCTTACGGATAACAATCCTACGATTATGAACTCCTTTTGGATTTTTCTTCTCCTTAGCCATCGCTTCATCCACAATGACGTCTCGTCTCATCACACAAAATTCCATATCTTGGATTAATTTCTCCTGCACTTTTCTAAGATGCGTTAGACGCATTTCCATTTTGTGAATTTCACTTTTCATCGTGGCGACGTCTCCGCCATTGCCGCGTTCTTCCTTTAAAGTCTTTGACGTCTCTTGTGCCAACTGAACCTATTTTAAAGAATATCAATAAAATATTTTAATATTCATGACATATATTGATGATAATAACAATTAGTGTGAAGAGTGAAATATTTAATCAACAACTTTGATTTGAAACTCGTTTCCACAATTATGACAATAACATCAGTTGATTTGTTAGTTACCTTTTTTTCCCAAGACAAGCTCTCACGTTGTGCAGCATTGAGCTGTTGCTTTAAAAGATTTTTCTCTTCTTCCAATTGTTTAATGTCATTTTGCAACTGGATTAGCTGTAGTTCAGCTTCTTGGAGAGCTTTAACATACTCCGTCTTAGTAACGCAGTTCTTACCTTCAAGCTCACCTTTTAGTTCCCTCTGCACAGCCAGTTGACTGTTTAGCTGTACCAATTTTTGTTGGCAGAGATTCACCGTTCTAATTATATTGGCTTCTTCTTTGCGCTGTTTTTCCAACTCGAATTCCAACTTTAGATTTTTCTGTTCCATTATAGTAATTTGCTTGCTGAGTAAGTTTAATTCAGCTAATTGTTCGCTACGCTCTTGACTTAAGGTAACCATGTAGCCTTCTTGTCGCAACCAAAATTGCTGAGATTTCATATTCTTTGCATCAAGCTCTTCGATGTTCTTCTCAAGACTCAGGATTTTCAGATCTATTGGACTAATCTCTTCGCCTCCACTTGTTGAAAGGATCTGAACATATATTGAAAAACGTTTGATTTACAGCAAATTGAAAAGTCGAAAATTGTATTTAATTAAATCAAAATACACACATTGAGCATTTTCTCATTCAACATGAACATAAAAAATGTAATAAAATGTGCAAATTAAAGGTGATATTAGTTTTAACAAGACTTTTTTAGTTTTAATATTGTGAGATGTGTGAACATTTACTTGTTCAATTTTCTTATTCAGTGAAATAAGTGTTCTCTGTTTTGTCCCAATAGTTAGATCACATCTTTTGATTTCCGTTTGCGTATTATCAATTTCTTTTTCCTTCTCTATGTTGCACTTTGTCAACTCATTGACGTCACATTTCATACTGTCTACAGTGGAATTAAGTCTTTCGATTTCCAAGAGACTTTTTCCATAAGTATTTTCTGCTTGAACCAGGGACAATTCTTGCTGCCTAATAGAATCCCTCGCTTCTTGAAGAAGTTTGTTTAAATATTTTGCAGCTTTGTCATGAGTGACTTTGTCTTCGAGCTTTTCTAAAATTTTATCTTCGAACTCGACCTTTTCATTAAAAAGTTTTTCCAACGTTTTATCGATATTCTTTTCCTCATTAAGTGATTGTTGGTACTCCTAAAATTAAAAAAGGAGGTGAATTGCATATCAGAAGAAATAATTTAATAATTTATACACGTTTAAATAAATATTCATTTGTAGAAGATAGTCATCAGTTCATACTAATTTTTCAATCATATATAGTATTGATGGCACATTATTTAGGTAAACAAATATCCCGTGGATATTGAATATTTTGGCAGAATATTTATTATACTTGATATGCATGGCATGAAATAGTAAATTAAATGTTAAATGTACCACTTGACTTCCATCGTAATCATTTTGAGCATATTCTATTAGCTTTGCAGTTTTGGCCATGTTAGATTCCAGATTGATAATTTTGTCCTTAATTCCATCGATGTTTCTAGTAGTGGTATGAATGTCATCTTCGATTCTCATCTGTACTCCAGTGAGGTTTTCATTGTTTTCCATTTCCTTGGTAGTGTCTTTTTTCACTTTTTCAATCTGAGTTTGAAGAGTACGAAAAGATTCGCGTATCTTTCTAGAAATAAATACACCGAAGCAACATTATTAAAGTAAAGTGGAAAAGTACTGAAAAATGTTAAAAACAGCTTTTTAACTAAAGACTTTCGGTTCTACAAAGTATGTTTATTATTGTAGCTTTTAATATTAGAAATATATAAATTCTTCTTTTACCGCAAAGTGTTAACTTATATATATATATATATCCTGTCTGCAGTATTAAAAAAGTTTTACATAGCACAATAAAAACGCTGGCATAGGATAATTCGATTCTGATTTCACGTAACTTTCTTCAGGACAAAATCGCGCAAGGTGTTTGTAATGTTAAAAGGATTGGGCGAATACTGTTTTTTAGCAGTGGAAAGTCTTTTTGTGTTTGTTCCATAATCTCTGTCAAGTCTGCATTCATGATCCGTTGCTTTTCGAGTTCCTCATTTAAGGCTCCTTCGGATTTGAAGAGCATTCTATATCGGCCGTCTTTAACATCCTGAAGCATTTTAACCTTACGTTGCTTCCGCACCAACATCTGCAAGTTCTGAAAGCATCAAATAAAATGAAAGTGTAAATTAATCTAATGCTTAAAAAGAGGTTGCAAAGAAACGAGTTCCTTCTTCAAAGTATCTTACATGGTGTTTTGTAATCTCTGCTTCCTGAATTTGATTGTCAATGTCGGGAATTGTGTCTTCAACGGCTCTCAGTCCTGACTGGCCTTCGTCCAATTTCATAAGCAGCTCCTTTTGCTGTGTTTCCACTTCGGAAAGCTTTTCATTTGTCTGCTTCCCCTCCTTAAAGGGAATTTATCAACAGTTATTTAAATATTGAGTATTCAAATATATAAAAATGTATTTTAACTATTAATTGAAGTTTTAAATAACTCTACGAGATTATTTTAAGATATAATGTTGAGTTGTACTTTTAAGATCTGTTTCAGCCTCTTTTTTTGATCCTCCAGGCGCTTACGGATAACAATCCTACGATTATNTATAAGGTCTAGTCTCTAAAGAATTCTAAGGAAACTGATCAAGGTCATGTTTCAATTAATTTGTTACGATTTTTACGGGGTTATTCAATTGATTACTTACAGTCTTTCCCCTCCAATTTCATCAAAGACTTTGTCCCTTTGTCTGATGCAAGTAATAACATTATTCCAAACATCGAATAAGGTCTTACGTTCTCTCTGGACGCCTTCGAGGTCTGCATTGGCATCAGTTATCACCTGGTTCATGTCTGCTTTCTCCTTCTCCTTCAACTGAAGTTGTTCTTTTAGATTTATAATTTCATCTTCTCTCTTCAAAACTTCCTCCGTTAGTTTAAACAGGATGTAATCTTTGTTTTGCTTTTGACGTAACTGTTCCTTCCGCAGAACAGCTTCTTTCTCCGATATTCTTTGAGAAACGATCAAACTGCTGGCTAGTTCTTGTTCCCACTCATTGAATTGTCGCTGCAAGGAAGACATGGTCTCCAACTGTCGGGCCAAACTGCGCTCATGGGACTTTTCACTTTGTAGCTCATCGGAGACCTTCTTGAATTCTTCCTTTGTCCTTTTTACTTCCTCTTCGACTTCCTCACGCATGCGAATTATCTCCGATAAGGCTTTTTGGTATGATTCAATGGTCTCTTGTTGCCGGTCTATTTCAAGCTGCGCATCATAGAGCCTTATACCTTCGTCTTCGCGTCTTTTCTCTGTTACTTTGATAGATGCTTCCTAAGAAAACACATTCCATTATATTATATTTTTTCTTTGCAAGTTTAAATAATTTCAGAACAGTAAGATTATATGACATCTATATGACATAATGCTATAATACTCAATATTTGCTTACGATAAATTATCTCACCAATTCTAGAATTTCTTCAGACAGTTTCTTATCAATCCGAAGAAGATGCTTCTGAAGAGCATCCTGGAATCTTTTCATCAAAGGATCATCTGGGTCTAAAACTTGAAGCAATTCTTCCGAAGGTGTTTGAACCCATACTTGTTTCTTTGGATTAGGATATGTATCTTCCATAGGTTCAACATTCGATGCCGGAGAACTAGTAGGAGGAAATCCTGGTTGACAGCAAGGAGACTCATCGACGAGAGGTGGAGGAACGTTCTTCGTGGCCTCGTCACACATGATATGACTAATAACAAATAAGAATTATTAATGGATTCGGTTATACAATTAATTACTGATAATAACACAAATTCTATCCTCATTGTGTTTATATATTACATAATCTATTTTTATGTATTAACATTAGGCTACAAGTTAAAGATCGTATTATTATTAACATGTTTATAATACAATTAACATAGATAATATTGCATGAGATAATTCTATATGTATATATATAGGCTTTAACAAAATTTCATTCAATGCAGTACCTTTATTTTTAAATTCGTACAGACAGATATACAAATATAAATCTTTAAAGGTTAAAAATATAGAGTCTGACAGCAAGAGTGCGTCTCGTTCAGTCTCGTTACCATGGAAACAGTTTCCTTCGTAGGTGCGCGGTTGGTTGGTGGTTGCATGGACGTAAGAATACATTCTTACACCCATGGACGTAAGAATTCATTCTTACGTCCATGGGTGGTTGCGGTCAGTTGCAATGGCGCCGCTTGTAGCACCTGTTTTGGCCTGCAGTGGCTGCAGTATCCTTCTTCTGGGGGTCTATTACGTAAAGCAAATTGAGCGGAAATGTGAAAAATGAGTAGGTGACGGTTTTACGGAACGTTTATGGTGGTGAAAATGCGATGTACAAGAAGAAATAAAAAAATAATCGTTGTAACGCTATCTTCCATGGATTGTGACACCAAAATTCAAAATGGAAAACCTCCTGGGTGTTTTAATTTTTGGCAACATTCGTATTCGGGTATATAATAGTAACTTTATTAGAAGAAGAGGGGAATTACGTGATGCCTCAGACCCATTTTCGTGAGAAGAAAGAGAATGTACTAGTATGTACAGGTTAGTTTTTTGTTATTGCGAGCTTATATTACGTTATTAAACATTGAAAACTGTTAAATAATTAATGCTTCATGACATGATAAGAAAATTATATTGTTGAACTTCTAATTACAGTATATGTAAATATGAATCTAATGCATATTTAAAAAATATAGATAGACTCGAGTCCTCTTCTTTACATTTAACGGCTTTCCATCTTCCCGTCTGTTCTGCTTATAAACCGCTACCCCTCAGCAATTTTCGATTTACAAGGTATGTATCTTTGTTTGTCAATATTACTAGATCGGAAGTGCTAGTGATCTCGCTCTTTCATATAGCGAATACGTAATTCGACGACTAAATCCACGTGAGATGAAAGTGCGAGAAGTGAGCGATCTCGAAAAAAACACGAAATAAACGCCCAGAGATGAGTTGAGAGATTGCTCAAGAGCAGGGTCGTGCGTAAAGTTCGAAAATTCTCGGTAACATTAAATTGGAGAAGGTAACTGTGAAACATACCGTAAGTTACCGGGAACATTGAGAATTTAAGAGAACGTTAATTTTGTTATTTATACTTTAGGTTTCTTCGTTTAAATAACTTTTTTTTTTCAATCAACTTCAAAGTTCAAGCTAAAGAGTAATAATTACTATTAGAAAATATTGATTATAGGGTCGTATTTACCTCCAGCTAAAAATATTCACGTATGTACAACTTCACGGAAAATTCCACGCGATTTGTTTCAAACGAACTGATATTTCATTCTGCGACGAAGCGAATGGGAGGTTTTGATTGGCTACGGAGAACGTACAACGGAAATTCCCATCTACGATGTTTCTCTATAGCTAATCGAAACCTCTCGTTCGCTCTGTTGAAAAATTCAAATTCTTATAATTTCTCGATAAAAAAGGTTTTGGAGAAACTAACGATAAGTTACCGGGAATTTCTCTTCGTTTCTGACGTAACTTACTGGATTTAGAACTCTAGTCGTGCGATTGTGGCGGGCCCGGGACGATGTCCGGCCATCGATCACCAGGGGCGTGCGCGAGACGACGCGATGCATTTAGGACGGGGCAAACTGAGTTACCCCGCGTGCACATTACCGTACTTACCTGGAACGAAGAGCCGATTACGTCGTAAAAAAAAACGGTTGAAAATGGAGGAGAAGACTGCGTGACCAATTCTAGAGCGCACGTGGAAACCCGCTCCTTTTTCTGTGATAATAAAGCAATAACTATAGATAAAGTGGTGAAATATATTCGACAATGCTCACACGATTGCGGTCTGTGCTGCCCTCGGCGGAGAATGCAGGCGGCTCATGCACTTGTCCCCAATGGCGGCCCAACCCAGGGATCCAACTCATCTCTGTTCCCAACTTATCTCTGAGTTAGGCAGCCATTGGGACAAGTGCGTAAGCCGTCTGCATTCTCCACCGAGGGCAGCACAGAACGTGATCGCGCGACCCTACCCGTGAGCAATCTGCTAACTCATCCCTGTCGTAACCAGGGTTGGGTAATTCCGCGCTTTCCGAGGTTTTTGACGTACATTCCGTAAACCACGTAGTTTGCCAGAGAAAATCGAAGTAAATTACGCTTCCAATATGAACAACGCTGCACATGTGCGATATATGGCATCCGATAGGTTATAAACATCTTTTAGCGCATGTGTAAACACGTAAAAAGTTGAAGGAATAATACATTTGGCGCTTGTATTCAAAATTCTTTCGACAACCCAGTTAAATATCAAATTTGTAATTGGATTTATTATTTTCTGTTTAGAAATAGAAGGGTGTAATACACTTCGCGCTCACGTAGAAAACGAGGAACGTATTAAACGTTGTAATATACGCGTAGAAAACCACGTATATTATATGACGTATTATACCTACTCAACCCTAGTCGGAACATCAATCCAGTAATGTGACGGAAACACTATGATTTACAAATCCCGGATTTCGAGAACGATAGAGACGTAGTCAATGTAGCTGGTCCAATTATTGGAAGTTCAGGAATTCTGGAATTAGATATTTAAAAAGCTAAAATCTTCAGAAATACTATTAAAATGTGTACGCTGCATAATAATCACTTATCGTTTGTTTAAATTATTGAAAATAATGAATGTCATTTAAAAAGTTCAATTCAACATAAATTCTCATAAATTCGCTCAGAATTTAATCATTGGTTATATTCTCGTTCTCGGTTATATTACCCGGGTAATAAGATGTACTAAAAACTCTACCTAATGACATATTGAGCGCGAATTGACCATAGTAGTGTACTCTCTATATGCGTCAGATTGTTCATGCCTATTTCGTGGCTTGTCGGTCGTCCATCTCGATTTGCGCGATCCGTGCCCGATGATGGCACTCTTGTAGAGCCGCTCGGCGGTAACCTCTGGAAACTCCGTGCCAAGCAATGGAGGCTCGTTTTCAATAAAATTCCGTGGTCGTACGTAATGTATTTTTGAGGGTGTGAAAAGTGGTGGTTTTCGTGCGATAGTGAGACTCGTCTAGACTGTGAACGCCAGTGAACGCATCGCCATAGGTGAGTTCGTCAAATCTCTAATTATTGCCCTACAGGAACGCTAAAAACCCTTCCGGAGTTATCCGAAAAAATATAAATATAACCTATGCGATATATATACGTACTCGTCCTAGCCACCAGAGTTTCATAGGAAATGTATTTGTCGATTAGCTCTCACGCCCTCAAACTTAACCTAACACATGATGAATGTACAAGAATCATTGAATACGCACGATGGTTCGTTAGTGCGAAAATGCGAGCGTGAAAATTTCAGGTGAGAGTCCAGATTTTTTGGAACGATTGGACGGCCGCCATCTTGGCGTGCTGCGTCGCCATTTTGGCGAGTGATCTCTCTCTTGCGCTCCTTTTCCTTGTCCTTGGAATGTACTTTATTCGGCTTGATTTTTCTAAGTGGGTTTAGACATAGTTTCATACTCTATTAAACAATTGTATAACTATTTACAGGTATATTCCAAAATACGGCGTTTTATCAAGTGGGTATTTTTTAGGAAAAGGCTTCAAGAAGCATTGCAGAATTTTTCTGTTCTTTAGTCTTGTAATGTAGTCGACTCGACTTAATTTTTCATGGCTGTTTTAGGCCTGGAGTTTTACATTCTATAAAATGTTGCGATGACCTCATACAGAGATATGTCTGTTAAAATGTATGTATGGCTCTAGCGAGTGGGTAGTTTATCATGTAGAATTTGGAAAAGCAACGCAGTCATTTTCTTTCGTGTCCTCGGAATACATGCAATTTAAGTTTTCTTGGTCATATTAAACCTAGAGTCCTACATTTCGAACAAATTATGAAATAACTTCTTTTGGAAGTCTCTAAAATATACATAAAACTCTAGGAAGTGGACAGTTTTTAAGATAAGGTTTAAAGAAGCTTTATGGAATGGATTTCCTTCTCATCCTTGGGTACTTGATACAATTTGATTTTTTTCGAGCCATATCAAACTTAAAGTTCTGTATTCGAACCAAAAACAAGATATTATGATTTAGGAGTAATTGGTTTCAGAAAATGCTTCAAAATGTACTTTGGGCATTAAGAAGTGGACATTTTTCGAGATAAAATCATAGAAAGTGTTACATAGTTTCGATTCCAAGATTTCTGTGATTACTAAGCACACACAAATTATACTATATTATCTACTCACTTTTTGTTATATCAGTTAACACATTCAGTGTCTGAACAAATGACAAGTATGCTATCGTAAACCGTTCATGGGTTGTCAGTGATCCACGTGGTGTGGAATGTGTTAAGCATACCTACAATGTGAATGAAGTGCAATGACACAATTTATAGTTTATGGATTAGATGTGGAAAATAAGTGAATGTGGATATATAATAATTATGTTTCCTTAATAAGATTGCAAAAGTTTCTAATGGAATAAGAAGCTAAGCAAATTGTAGACATTAAACGCAGTCAGATTTTTATATGAATTAATTGTAAAAAATCATGCAATTTAATTTAGCACATCAAAAATTTATAACTTATGTTGCCAACTGCAGCAGTTAATTATATAACATTTATTTGTACACCAATTGAAAGAATTCACCCATATATACATTTAAATCAAACATTTATTTGCACGCCACTTGAAAGAATTCATCCTTATATACATTTAAATCAATCTTTTCTACCCTTATAATTACACTGATGTATTCAGTCTTATAAAAAAGGTGTTTGTTTATCTTTGTTCCTTCTTTTCGTTCATTTAGATTCAAACCAATTTTATTTTTCCTCTTATAATTCCTTCTTTCATACTTTTTTTGTTCTGTTTTTAATTATATAAATATTAATTGTATAAACAAATTTGTGATGGTACTAGAATTCTCATATTTTATTACCATGTGTTTATTTTAACCCGAATATGAAAATAAGGCAAGGCATGAAAGTTGAGAAGTAATGTTATGGCAACAATTACTCACAAGCAGGGTTGGGTAATTTCGCGTTTTTTGACGTACATTACGTAACCCAAGTAGTTTACCTTAGAAAATTGTAGAAAACCAATAAATTACTTTTCCAATACGAAGAATGCTGCAAATAGACGATTTATGGCTTCTGCTACGTTATAAACGTCTTTTGGTACACATATATATACGTAGCAATGTTTTAGGTATAATTAATTTGGCGCTGGCTTTCAAAATTTTTTC